GTTCCTTTGGAGGGGATCCTACAAGGAGTACTACAGGGTTCCCGGGGCCTGGGTCGGGTTCCTTTACAGGGGGGTCCTTTTAAGGGATCTTTGCGATTCGTTCAAAGATGAAAGGATACTACAGGGTTCTAAAATGCCCGTTAAAGGGGTCCTTTTAGGGGTACTACGGGGTTCTACAATCGGGTCCCCCTAAATTGCTCCTTTAAGGAATCCCGTAAAGGTTCCTTTCACAGGGATCCTTTATGGGTTCTTTGTGCGGGTTCGGTCATGGGTGCGATAGTCCGAGGTTCGAAATGTGGCTTAAAGGAGATGTACATGGGCTCCAAAGGCTTGCTAGAAGATTTCTGGACGGGCATCAGGGTTTAAGGATCTTAGACGGAACTCTAGCTTACGTTTTGTTTGTTTTTGTTCTGCTCCTTCGTGTTCCCAACAACTCCGAACTACTTCGAAGTGTGGGTCCCCTTCATCAGTGTTTAGGAATTCAGGGTTGAGGGTTTCGGGATAATTCCGATAGTTTTTTGTGGCATTTCAGTTGTGCAGGACTGTTTCGATTAGTGTAGCTTGTCTTCGGTGGCTCGTTTCTAGATGAAGCTAGATCCCTGATTTAATGAGTCTCTCGTCTATAAGGGCATAAAATATTGGCCTTCTGACGAATGCATTCCTGAGACACCTCAGCCCAAAGACCCTCTAAGCTGCACCCTGAACGCCTAAAGCCTCCAAACTTTCTGTGGGTCTTATAACAGAGCACGTGGCCCGAAAGCATATGCACCTTAAACCCTCGCCCCAAGCCCCGAAACCCGACACCTACACCCTAAACCCTAGCCCTAAACCCGAAAACCGGTACCCTGAACCCTGTTCGAAGGACCCTGAGACTGAGTTGAAGCTCATCAACGCCAGCTACGATGCGGACTACCTGGCCTACATGATGAAGTGACCTATCCCTATAGAAGACCCTAAACCTGAAATCCCTGTATATAGATCTTACATCCTCAACCTTAAGCCGCGAATCCCCTGCCAGAGGCAATCCTTGGGTTATCGGGTCTTTCTTGGAGACTTTGTCGCAGCGTCGCAGAGGATTTATGACGCATTTGGGGTTCAGCGGGGTACGGTGGAAGCCCAAAAGTTGGAAACCCAATAGCCTCGATCCCTAAGAGTACTGTATAGGGAATCCCAACACTATTTGGCCTTAATCCGGTTTCCAACTTTATGGGGCTTCCTGTATAGATCCCCTTATGGTAACCTTTTCAGACCCCTTTAAAGGAACCTAGGAACCCTAAACTAGACCCCTCTATAGGACTCATTACTGGAAGGTTCCGGCTTTTGGGCTTCTGTAGGGATTCAGAGTAGTGTGTTCAGGGCTTAGAATTTCGCTCCTCGGGCCTACCCAGAGGCTCCATAGTAGTTCCTTTTTGGGGTTTCATAGATAGAATCCTAGAAGGAAATCACAAAAAGGAACTACCATGGAGCCTCTGGGTAGAGCTGAGGATTTCTGCAATTAGGGTTGAGGGTTTGTGTTCTCTTAACGCTTGCATGAGCCCTGGGCCTCAAACCTCCCTCTTTTTTGTGCTTTTGCTACCAACTGAAATGATCTGTTTTTTGGGGCGGTAACAGCCTACAGTGAGTTTAGAGCTCAAGGTTTATCCCATCCCCAAATACCAGCGGTCAGTTGCCTTGCACCCTGAAAGCCCCTGTAGAACCTTCGGAAAACCCGGGTACTTTGGAGCCCTCATGGATCTTCAGCATCCACCATCGGGGCTTGCAGAGTGCGGCAAGTTTACCCAGAGGCCCCATAGTAGCTCCTTTCTGGAATCACCTTATAGGATTCTATATATGAACCCCATAAAGAACTACTTTGGGGCCTTTGGGCAAGGGCATCCCTTCTCAGCTCCTGGCTGCAAAAAACTCTGCTCACGCGACCTTCCCCAGGTTCCATTGCTAATACCTGATTGGGGCAAAGCCCCAAGCCGTCGCACTGCGAGAGCACAGACCTGATGTGGATGGCGGCGTAACAGCCCAAGTGCACTTCTGAATGCAGCGCGTTGAGCGCCTTGTCGGGAGTGCCAAGCTTGGTATCCCATCACCCTCGCCAACAAGCAGGTTAGCTGAGAAGAGGTCTCCCTTGCGGCGGTCAGTGCATGAATTGTTGTCATCTGCCCGGCTGTTTTGGATTTCCTCCTTGGCATGACCAAGCGGCCTTCAGCATTCGGCTTCAGCGGCCGTTTTCCACCTCACTGCGTTGTGCACCCAGAATTTTTGTCCTATGTCCTATTGGCGCGGCGATTTTGTAGTGCACTGATGGTAGTCTGACCTTGCGCAGATCGTTTTGCTTATCTTATGCTTTCGCTTGCACTCGGCTGCTTTGTTCCACCGGTGCAGTGCCAACTCGACCGCCCGGAAGGTTGCTCTTCGAAGACGAGAGGACGAAGTCAGGCTATTTCATACGCTACTTATATATATTGAGCTGTGATGCGGTTCATTTCTTGCTCTGTCCCTCCCTGTAAGGGCCCGATACGTTGCTTCCAACCCCTGCTTTCCTGCGAAGGTTGACAGCTGGCTTAAGTCTGCGTGCTTTGTGCCCGCCTCTCTCAGAGGTGCTGGGCGAAAGAGAAAGTACTCCACTGACGACGCGGCTTTGCAGATTCTCGGCCTTGCCGAAGATGACAAGCAGTCTGTTGGTGCACCAGATACGCCAAAGCGTTCCCCTAAAGCTTCCTCCCCTTTAGGCGCTACTCCCGGTTCTTCCTCCAGGTGTTTAGTTCGGGTTTCTAGTTTCCCTGCCCTTTCGGCTTCTGCACTGTCTGTGTTGGGGCTCACTGCTCCCACGCCTGCCAAGTCTGCGGCCACTGCTGCCTCTCCGAAGGCTTCTAGCTGCTCTTCCAAGCCAAAGAAGGCTCAGCAAGACCCAGCTCCCGGTGCTCACCTTCGCTGTGTGTGCGGCTGGTGCCCTCCAAAGGCCTCTCCCAACGCTCAACGCTCTAAAGCACTGTCTCACTGGATGCGCTGTCAGGGCAAGGCCCCCCCCATGCGCACTAAGGCTGCGCGAAAGCAACAGAAAAAAAAGTGGACTCAGTGTGCTGCTGCGGCCACTCGGGCTAAGTCTGAGAAAGCGCACTTGGAGTGGATGTCTAAGTTTTCCTCCAAGCACCCTTCCCTCGCGCCCTTTCTCTGCTCTCCTTCGTTTGAGCTTGGCACAACCTACTACAACGGACGTCGGTTCCCTTGCAGCAAGTGCGGTGCCATTCGCACTCTTGCCGATTTCAAGCGGAGTCCTTGCAGTAATAGGCCTAGTCATGTTACTGTCCTCAAGTGGCAAAACGCTGCTCTTGGCCGTGCTGTGTGGCCAAATGTCGCGATGAATCTCGCAACAGGGCTATGACCAAGTGGCACGCGAGCCCTAGGGCCTACATGGCTGCCTGGTACCAAAAGACAAAGAAGCGTCGCAACAACTCGGCCTCTAGCTCCTCCAAGCAGTGACTAGGTACCTCTTCCCCCCACGCTTGTGAGACTCATCACCCGGACCCTTTGTCTGGTGGTGAGCAAGACTTGCACATTCTTTCTGTCAACGTCACTTGCTTGACTAAGGATCGGCTCTGCACTGTGCTTGTGAGTTTGCTCGCAAGCACAAGTGTCAGGTTGTCTCGCTGCAAGAGACCCGTCATCACTCTCACACTGTGCCTTGGGCTCACAAGTGCGCTGCCGATTTTGGCTTTCAGCTTTCCCTCTCTGCCCCGTCCCCGAAGGCCGCTCTTGGACGCAGGACTCCCGGCGGCACGGCGCTTTTGTGGCTCAAAGGTGCCGGTAAGGTTTCGTCTTTCTCGTGTCAGGGCCTTAATAGTCAGTCCCACCGCAGTTGCTTCGCCTGTTGGAACAACTTCACTGTTTGCTCGGCCTACGGTCCGGCTCACAAGCCTGATGCGTCTTGGTTTCGGTCTGTCGTTCAGACCGGCACCGATGCCAAGCACCCCTCTTGTATCATCTTAGGGGATTTTAACTGGAAGCCTGTTTACGACTCTTCCGTGCCTTTCGGATGGCATACGGCGGCTCCCTGTGGCCTTGCACTGCCGCTGGCACTGCGCCTACCCGAGCCATCGCCTCCGTACCTGTGCAACCTGTAAGTGCCACTCCCCTTCCCGGTGTTCCCTACCACTTTGGGGTTGTGTTTAGGTGTAGGGTTATAGGCCCTCCCCCCCTACGTCGGCCTACTCGGCTTCACCGGTGCGCTGTTTTCCGTTGGCTCCAGGCCAAGCCTTCTGCACAAAAACTTTCTGCTGTTAAAACGGCTCTTGACGCCATCTGCCCCCCTCAGCAGATCACTTCTGAACTTGTCGCTGTGTGGAAGCACTGGCATCTTAGAGCTGAGACCGCCTTTCGCCTTTGCGTCGATGCTGGGTTTGCTGAGTTTGAGCGCAAAGCCGAAAGGCCCAAAGGTTCTTTGCCTTCTTCTCGGCCCACCGCTCCTGGCCCTGCTCACCGTCCTCCTCAGACGGTCGCTCACAGGCGCCTTCTCAGGGTCCACCGTGTTGTTGCCGAGGGCATTCGTCATGGTTGTGCTCAAAATGCCCTCGATGGCTCTCTTCTCAGCCGTGTGCAACACATGTTGTGGGATTATCATGATCGTCACTCCTTCCTTGAAGGCACTTTCAGCGACGCTTTGGGTGTTTTAGACCAGGCCATTGCTACTCAGGCTGCTCATATGTCGAAGTGCAACGCCTCTGAATGGCGCTCAGCTTTTCGTGCTTTCGCGTCCTCTTCTGCCTCTTCTGCCGAGTGGAAGCTCGCGCGCGCGCGCGATGTTTAAACCTAACACCTTGCAGACCGGTTTTGCTGCTTCGGAGATGCGTGACAGTTGGGCTCAGGTTTGGGCTCCTGCTGGCTTCAGCTCTCAACCTTCCTGTGAGGCTTGGCGCCAGCTTGCTCTCGAAGCCGGCATCATTCATTCCGACAATTCTGAAGTTGACCCCGAAAGGTTTTTGCCTGACCGTCACCTTTTTTCCGAAGCCATGCTCCACTGTTCGGATTCTGAGGGCTTCGACGGTTGGACTTCTCACGAGCTTCATGCTATGGAAAAACATCTGCCTTTTCTCTCGTCCGAGCTCTTTGAACTTTGGCGCCACACTACCTTGGCGGCCTCCGGTCAGCACGAGTTTTCTGATGAGTTGTCAAACATGCTGTGGTCTTGGCGTGTTGTTGGCATTCCTAAGAGTACTTCCTACGATTCCAGGCCCATCTCGGTCGGCTCCTCTCTGCTCCGTGTCTGGCACAAGGCATTGCTGCGCAGATGTCCTCCTCCGCCTCGTGGTCAGTGGTGCGGCAGACAGCACACTTCTGTTGTCCACGCCACTGCTAACTACCTTGCCTCTCAACCTGGCGCTGTCGCTGAAACTGACTTGTCTAAAGCGTTCGACAGCCTTGCGCCTGAGGTTGCGTCAGTTTCCTTGCGCACTTTAGGGGTTCCCTCCTTTGTCTGTAACTTTCTGTGCCAGGCTTGGCGTGGGCCCAGAGTCTGCTGCGTCGGCGGTGAGCTCGCCGCCCCAATCCGTCCTCTTAGGGGTGTGCCACAGGGAGATCCCATCTCCCCTCTTGCCTTGGCCTCTTGTTTGGCCCCTTGGAACAGACTCGTCCAGGCTCTCAGCCCTGACCTCTCCACGTGGTGTTATATGGATGATAGAACCATCGCGGTTCTCCGTCAGGGCAACAAGCAACTTCTGCACGTGGCCCTTAACACCACCCGCCGTTTCGACAAAGCCTTGGGTTTCGAAATTAACCCCTCTAAGACTCAGGTTTGGGCTTCGAGTTCTAGTGATCTTCTTCCTCATGGTGACCTTAGGCCTATGGAACACCTAGGACTTAGACTCAGACATCACCCCGGCAGGCCCGATCATCTCATCGAAGGTCGGGATCCTGATAAACTTCAAACCGCCATCCAGCTTCTAAAAGACTGCCCCGGCGGTTTCCACGCTCGGCTCCGGCTGGCGACCACTTTTGTGCGGCCTTTGATGGATTGGGGCTCTCCTCTTATGAAACCGGGAGATCCATCATTGGTGCGGCCTCTGTTCAAGGCTGTGTGTGCTGCAAAGTCTCTTGGTGGTGCGCGGGCCGTTTCTACGCCCTCAACATCGACTTGCACCCGGTTTTAGGGGTTGCTGTTAGGGGTCTCGCTTTCGCTAGCCGAGTTCTTACCGACCCTAGCCCTCACGTTTATGCTTTTTGCTGCAGGCTCATGCGCAGGCCTTGCATCTTCGCATTGTCAGCTTCAATCATCAAGCCGTCACTGTGCAGTCTTTGCGCCAGGATTTTCCTCCTAATCCGGTGCCTGCCGAGGGGTTTAACGCTCCGGTTCAGGTTCAAGGGGAACGGGTCCTGCACCTGCTGCGCATGCGTGCTCGCAGAATCGCTCTCTCTGCCATTCCTGCTACTCGCCTGGACCGCCAGGGTGTCGAGCTTATCGACTTGGAAGCGGCGAGCAGTCCGCGCTTCAAGCGTTTTCTTGATTCACTTTCTTTCTTGGAGGCCTCCAGGCTTGCCATTTATCGCTGCGGCGCTTTGCGCTCTCGCACTCGCCGCTACAAGGGTGCGGACAGCAGCTGCTCTTTTTGTCAGGCCCCTTTCGCTTCCGCGAGGCACCTTTTTGCCGATTGTCCCAAGTTCAATTCCGTAAGGGCTCGTCTTGCATGAGAGGGCCCACCAAATTCCTTCTAACTGGTGGCGAGCCCAGCCTCGCATCACTTCAAAGAGTGCATGGATTGTGGTCACTGCCGGTGGCACTGCCCATCAGCGTATCAGCAGGCTAATCGCGGCGTCAAAGCTTGCAATCGAAATCACTGCGCTCAGCGCCCCGGAGTGAGCATGGGTTCATTTCGGACCGTGCTGTTGCCTCTACCCTTCTGCTTGGGTTTAGGCCCTTTGGGTTATTACCCTTTCGCTTGGCTGATGAACTATACAGCTAACCAACGCCAACTTCGGATGTGTTGTCCAGTCACAGCTATCCACAGGCATCACCTTTGGGGTGTTGTCCCTCTGCACTTCAGCTCACTGCAATTCTGTGCATTCCAAACATGCTTGTCCTACAGGACCCCGGGCTCGGTTCCCTTAGGGTTCGCTTGGTTTCTTTGTGGTTCCTTAGGGCTTGTTTTTCCTTGCTTGACGTACGATGCCTTAGGCATGCAACCGCTCTTGCACTATTGACTCGCAGGGTGCATTCGCGCCTTTCCTACTTTCTTGGGCCTTAACCCTTGCTGGCATAGTGGCCCCGCTGCTTTTAGCACAACCTATACTCCCGCTTCGAGGCATTCCCCAAGGCGACCCTGTTTCGCCATTAGCTTTAGCGGTTAGCTTATCTCCTTGGAATAAACTTACGGAAGCCCTCGATAGCAGCATCCGCACCTGGTGCTACATGGACGATAGGACCATCGTTGCCATCAGGCAGGGCTCTAGGGGCCTCTTGAACAGAGCCCTTGAGGTTACTCGCCAGTTCGCTTCGGCCTTAGGTTTCGAAGAGAACAGAGACGAAACCCAAACTTGGTCCTATAACGACCCTACTGACCAAGGTTTTCCTCTAGAGCACCTTGGCCTTCGCCACGACCCTGGTCGCCCGCATCAGCTTACCCACGTCCGCGACCCGGACAAGGCGCCGGATGCCATTGCTCGGCTGGGCAATTGCCCCGGTGGCATTCCCATGCGGTGCCGCTTGGCCACTGCTTTCATCAACCCCCTCTTCGACTGGGCTTCCCCACTCCTCCCGCCAGGCAGCGCTGAAGATGTCTCCCGGCTTTTTCGGGCGCTCACCAATGCTAAAGCCACGTGGTGGTGCAAAAACCGCTTTTGGTGCCAGCACATCGATTTGCATCCTAGGTTCGCAGTTGCCATCCGCGCCCTATGCAATGCAGCAGCGGTGATTAATACGCCTAGTCCCCACCTCGATGCCTTGCTTAAAAAGGATGCTAGCATTCTTAAGCTCCGGATCACTTCCCTAGGACCTCATTCCCTTAGGGTTCGCTCTACTTCCCCTAACTTCCCGCCATCCCCCTGCCGCGAAGAACAGTTCGCTAACCCGACGCTTGTCCAGGGCGATAGGGTTGCCCACTTCCTGCGCCAGAGGGCCAGACGCATGCTGCCGCTTCAAGTTGAAGTTCCCCAGACCCGCAATGATTGCGAAGGCATTCAACATGTTGATCTTGAAGCCTGCAGCCACGCCAAATACCGCAAGTTCTGCAACTCCCTGAACTCGAGGCAGTACTCTGCCCTCATTATCTTCAGGTCCGGTGCTATCAGCACACCCACTCGCCGCCACAGGCATGATGATGAGCATGTCAACGCCACTGCCTGCTCCCATTGCGGCTTCCCCCGTGCCTCTGCACAACACTGGTTTGTCGAATGCAGCAGATTTGAGAGCACTCGGTCTCAGCTCCAGGCAGCTCATTCCATCCCGCATGGTTGGTGGCGTGCACAACCCAGGTGCACTACCAAGTCCGCTTGGGTCACCATCCATGCGGGCAGGTCCCTTGCACAGCGCGTTGAACGTTTGATCGCATGCGCTAAGCTTGGCATCGCCATCACTCTAGCACAGGAGCCCTGTGCTTGAGTGATTTGCGATGTCTCCTGCACCGCTCGTTTAACGCGCTGGCGCGTCCATGCAGCCTCTCCCGCGGGCTTCGGTGGCCTTCCCACCGCTTCTAGTGTGCTCCCTTCGCTTTGCTGCGCCATTTCTTTTGGGGCTCTTGATGGCGTGGTGCACATTCTTGTCCCGCAGGGGTCGGGTTATTTTTGGTTCCTCTTCGCACGATTTTGTTTTCGGCAGTCCGACATACCGGAAGGTGCTCTTCCGATGACGACGTGACGCAGTCATGGAAATCTCGTTTTATTTATTTACACGTTCTGCTCTGTGATGCAGTTCATGTCATGCCACACCCTTGATTGGGCGCCCTTCTGGGCCTCACACGTTGCTTCCAACCCCCGCTACGGCGAGAGATAGGTTGTTGCAGCTACAACTAAATAATACCAGGTACGACACCATCCACGGGAAGTACGATGGAACCGTGGAGGTTGATGGCGACTCCCTGGTCATCGACGGCACGAAGGCTCCACACAGACGGAAGTTGGTTGTTCTGGGCGGATTAGTTGAAATACAGTACTATAGGGGCCTAAAAATTACCTAAACTATTTGGGGTGTTTCCCTATCATAATTGTCAGTACAATGGGCCCCAAAGCCGTATTCTAACCATTAAGGCCCCTGCATTCGACCTGCTTAGCTATGTTTTAGTATGCCCCCAAAAGTGGAACTTAATTAAGACCTTCAACCTAAGTGATCAGATAGGGCTGAGGGTTCAGGTTCTATGGCCATAAACCTCGAGCTACCCGGCTTGGGGTCAAGCAGGATATCTACTGCTCGACATAAGTCATAAGAGGCCAAAAGGGGTTTTAGCCTATGGGGGTTTAGTAGGGATTAGGGTTCCCATAATAGGGTTCATATTACGGAATCCCTACCCCAAGAATCTTAGACCCCCCTTTTCGCCTCCCATCAATAAGACCTCGACAAAAACTATACCCAGCTCAAGAACAATCGAGCAACACGTTCTGGATTTTAGGCCTTTGGGGTTTTTCGCAGCCATCAACCTGTATGTCGCGAGTTCGAAGGTGCAAAACACCCCTCACGCCCTAAGGGCCTTAATGCCCAAGCTTTCAGCTAGTCCCGAAACCTTCGATATCCCTTGAGGCTGCTCAAACCTCTGAAGGAGCTTGTCAAATTTTTAAGTCTGGATACAACTGACCCGACAAACCCGAACGCATCATCCTAAACTACATCACCATAAGACCGCTGTCTTGGGCCTGAAAGCCTTAAACCCAAGACTTTGCCTGCACCCCCCTGCGTTTGAGGTTCAGGGTTTAGGGTCTATAATACCAGGACCCCGCAAATCCCCTTGAATAGAGCCCTTATGGTCATTAAGAGTGGGCATTTGGGGTATATTAGAGGGGAGTTGGGGGGGTCTAGGCAAACCCCTAAACTAAACCGCGGCACAGCCCTTCTAGGACCCGAAGACTCTTCGAAACCTGAGACCTGAGCCTGAAGGAATCCTACAGGGTTTAGGGTTTGGGGTTTAGGGTTTTATTACTCCTCAAGACCCTAGTTTAAAGCCCGCAGCCCTCGAACCCCTGAGCCTGAAAAGTGCCCTGGACCTAAGCTCAGTAAGCAGTAAGCCTTAGACAATCCTCTCCAAGCCTCAAACCCAAAGCCCAAAACCCGAAACCCAAACTTGAGAACTTCGACCAGAAACCCTGAAGTATCCCAACCTCGGCCCTAGAGAACCTGAAGGTGGTAAGGGAGAAGCTGAAAAGTTGGAAACTCAATAGCCTCGACCCTTAAGAGTAATGTATAGGGAATCCCTGCACTACTTGGGCCTTCATCCGGTTTCCAACTTTGTGGGGTGCACTGTAGGTTATGTAGGATTCTGGAAAGCCTTGCAGCCGGATCTCGCCACCGAAAGCCAACATTCTGATAGATCCCTTGTGACATTGTAAAGCCAGTGAAAAACTTTCTTGGAACCCTGATGAAACCCTAAACCCCCGGAACTGTAAACTAAATGCCTGGGGTTCTAGACCCGAAGTTCCTTCAACCCTACACCCTATAGATCGGCCTGAAGAAAACTCCCTCAAGGTGGCTTTGTCTCACACCCGTGATCCTGCCGAGATTCCCTTCGGAGAGACCCTTGGCTAGACGATTAGACAAGCGAATGTTTTACAGGGGTCAGGATGTAATTAGAACCTTTGGTTTCTATATGGTTGTTCCAGGAATAAGTGGGTTTACCAGGATTTCGTTTTCCGGTTAATGAGGGCTACTCGGGCTTGAATACGGGTGCTGGGGTGCACCATGTAGAGAAGTTTGTTTTGCAGCGTCTACCAAGCAGGGTATTTACCACCAATGTTTCCTGCCCTGTATTGCCATTGCGGGCTTTAGGTTTTAGGGGCTTTGATATCCAGCCTGCTGCGGTTTCGGCACATTCTGGTGTTGGGTTGTACGGTTGCTGAGGCATGAAGAGCTTCACTTTAGGGATGTTGGGTATGCAGGCGCTGGGGTGTAGGCGGCTTCATGTTAAAGGAGTGTGGGTTGGGTACGGCCCCCACTCAGTAATAGTTGAGCACTCTCCATAATATAGATATATTAGGACCTTAATAGTAGCCCTGTTATAGACTTACTGTAAGAGGGGCAGTACCTAGAGTGTGGGTGTTAAGGCTATCGGGCTAAACGGGCTTCTACGGAAGATTTGCGCCTGGGGCCCGGGTTCGTCCGAGTAGGTTTGAGGGTTTGAAGGGTAGGGTGTAGGCTACAGGGGTTTAGGGTTCAGGGTTAGGGTTTAGGGGTCTAGGGTTTAGGGTGTAGGCTGCAGGGTCTACTCCAGTTCTGGGCTTCGACAGGACTGAGTCTCTTTGTTGTTCGAATCTAAATCCGAGGGTTCTTGAAACTGCAGGTGCTTTTAGTTCCATGGGGCTTGAACAACTAGTTTTCCGACCGCTGCAGTGGGACGTTTGGTGCTGAAGCAAGATCTAGCCCTAAGCCCTCAATCCTCAATAGACCCTAAACCCGAAACCGTACTTGGAGGATCATGGGACTAAGTAACCAGGGGGTATAATTAAGGTAACTGGGGTATAATGAAGGTAACTGTACCTCTAACTACTTATGACCTCACTTAAGGTACTTGTAACCTTACTTACTAAGTCCCATGACCCTCCAAGTAAACCGAAAAAGCCAAGCCCCAACACCGCACAAAGCTCAAAGCCAGAAAAGCCACAGCCCTGCAGCCCTACACCCTACACCGGGGAATCCCGAAAGCCCCCAAAACCCACCCCAAACCTAAACTCAACAGTCTGAAAAGGTTTCGCGGTGAGGCGTCTTTGCAGCTGAGTAGGCAACCTTTAACATTTGGGCTTTGCATAATAATCCTACCATGAAAAGGTCACCCCTTTTTTGGGCTAGGATACTCAGCCCCTATAAGTTCATTAAAAGCCCCACATCCTACACCGTGGCTCAAAGTGGTGAGTCGGAGTATCGGAGTTAGGTAGCATTATAAACCCTAGGAAAAATCTATACGGGCCCTAGAAAAGGTATGTTCTTGTAGTTGAAGGTGTTTAGCCCTAAATCCTGAAGCTTAAACCTTAACCCTGAACCCTCAGACCTTTTGCGAGCGCGGAGGCATGGTGCCGAGTATGTTTGCGAGTCCACCGGCGTGTTCCTGACCACTGAGAAGGTGACCCCCCAATTGGCCCAAAGCCTTTAGGCTTTAGGGTTTATGAGTCAGGGTTTTTAGGGTTTATGATTTACAGGATTTAGGGTTTATGATAGGGCTTATGATTTAGGGCAATTTAGGGTTTAGGATTGAGGGGTTTAGTTAACGAGAGTTAACGAGACAGGTTTCTTGCAGGTTAGTGGCTCTACATATCGGATTGTGTCGACCTTGTGGATTAGGCTTTAGGACCATATAACGAATGGTTACAACACGGCGCGGGTACAATAGATTACATCGGGATGGCAGGGGGATATCTAAAACCATTCCCATGTGCGCATTTTCTTGCATGCCCCCACACTCGAAAAGAGCGGCATATTCAAATCAACCCGGGCGCTCACACTCAAAGCCTTTGCTGAAATGATCCGGTGCCGAGGCCTGCAGAGAAATACAATTCCTGCCTGAAAGATCAGGATATGCCTAGACCCTAGATACGTTTGGTACTCTATGGGATGGCGGCGGTCTTGCGCCGTGTGTTTGGTATAGGGCTCTAGGGTGAGGCATCATAGAGCATCAAGAACCTCTAAAGCTTAAGGTCTAAAGGAAAGCAACCTACAATGTCCTTATCAAAGACCCACCTCTTCATAAACCCTAGCCCTAAATCCTAAACCCAAGTCTATCCTAAACCTTAAAAGCCCTAAACCCCTAAATCCTAAGCCCCTAAACCCCAAATCCTAAACCCAACTCTATCCTAAACCTTAAAAGCCCTAAACCCCCTAACCCCAAGCCTAAACCCCAAATCCTAAACCCAACTCTATCCTAAACCTTAAATTAAATCCTAAGCCCAATTCTATCCTAAACCTTCAAAGCCCTAAACCCCTAAATCCTAAACCCCAAACCCTAAACCCTAACTCTTCAAGGTGCAGCCGCACCTGAAGGCTGGTGCCAAGAAGGTGATCTTCTCCGCCCCTGCCAAGGTTGCGTTTAGGGTTTCTGGTTAAACCCTGAACCCCTAAACCCCAGATGAGGTTTAGGGTTCGACTTTTCGGGGTCCATTGCGGGCTATAGACTAGGGGGTGCTTGGGGTTTAGGGTTTAGGGTTTAGGGTTTCTGTGTCAGTTTCGAGATGCAAGGATTTGATAGGGGTCTGAGCAGTTTGTTATTGTATTCTCGGTCGCCCCCGGTGACAGATTGCCTGGGTGAGCGTTTGGCTTCGGTTTTGATTGAGGGGGATCATGACTACAGGGTTTCAACTCGATCACGCTTTTTTGCCCCCAACTTCTGGCGGCAGGATGACTCTCACACCGTCGTCATGGGCGTGAACGAGGACCTCTGAACCGGGCAGGCTTGTACGTGCTTCAAGCTTCATGTTCTGAGGCTTGGAAACACAAAGATGCACCAAAGAGGATACCATAGGGTACCTTAGATTCTCCGCTTGCAACCCGGTAACCCTCAACCCTAGACCCCTAATACAATTTCAGGGGGCCCACATGGATCCTTCTAGAACCCTAAGCGCAGGACACCTACGACCCCTCCATGGAGTGCGTCTCCTGCGCCAGCTGCACCACCAACGGCCTCGCGCCTGCTGTCCGAGTGCTGCAAGAGAAGCACCGAGGCGGCAAAGCGACACCTAAACCATGGATTTGAGGCGTTGGAGAATATGCATACATACATATATATATATATATAGACATACACATTACCAATCATAGGTAGATAGGTGCATATTGGGGCGCCCAATATTCTGAGAAATCAAATCAGCCTCCGGCCTGATCCTTGAAACGTCAGCCATCAATCCCACACTGAGACGCGGAACCCGTCCCCTACTCCCTAAACCCCAACGCCGTAGCTCCTTTAGGAACCGTCAATCAGAGCCCTTCCTAGCAGTTAGGACGTACATCTCCATCGACCCAACAACCCATAAACCCCAAGTACTCTTTGAGGTTCGGCATCAAGCGTGGTCTGATGACCACCTGCCACGCCATGACGGCCTCGCAGCCCACCGTTGATGGCACCTCGAAGAAGGACCGCCCAAGGGGCCCAAAACGCGAATGTAGGGGCCCCAACAATTAGAATATTGTTCGTTTAAACGTTAAAGGGGCCTTAGAGAAATTTACCACGGGTTCCTGAAAGGGGCCCGAATATTCAAAATGGGGCTCCTTTAAACGGTTCTTGTAAGAGCCCTTATAAGGGTGTGATTGGGTTTTGCCGGGGCCTTGTCAGACCCTGGTTCTGGGATATCCGGGCCCCCCCAAGGGCCCTTTAGGGTTTAGGGTTTAGGGGTTTAGGGACTTTGATGGTCTCAATAGTGGAACATTTGGGGTATATTAGAGGGTAGTTGGGGCGTCTAGGTAATCTAGGTAGGTGTTCAGGGTCTAAGTATAGTTACAATAAAGAACCCTAAGAAAGAGTTCCGTATACAAGCAGGCTTCCACATTCTGGGTTTAGCGTTCTATAAGGGCCTCATACATGTCTTGCATCGCCAAGGCTTGAGAGGGGTTCCAGAAGCGATTTACATAGGTTTAGAATGGTTTAGAGTTTAGTTGTTTTGTGGGGGCTTCCACAGAGACAAACACCCGACTATGACTGTTCTTCGAAGCACATAATGCCCAAGGTTTCTTCGATTTACAACTATTTCCCAATCATATGATGTGAGTTGCCGGGGACCGCAGGCAATAGGTCTAATGCAGGGGCCTGAAGAATAACCAATACTGTTTGGGGGGTTCCTTATTCTAACTATCGTTTTCTATACCCCAAAACCCTATTCTAATTATTCAGGCCCTTATACTAGGGTCCGGTCTCTGTCTCCTGAGCCCTAAACGCATACCCGGAACCACTCAATGCCTGGAGCCCTACAGTGCGTGGTCAATCCTACAACTTCAGATCCTAAACCATTAAAGAACCCTTAACCTCCAAGCCCAAGGCCTGAGCAACTTTAGAATATCGTTGTGGAGAGTTTAGTGCTAGAGTGCTTAGGGTTCAGGCTGTAGGATTTGAGTGTCAGTTCCGGCATGTACAGTACATGTCATGGCTTAGAATGTTCGTGTATATACATATAGATAATACAAGTATGACTATATATATACACACACCATAGGTATGTAGGTAGGTAGGTATGTACGTACGTATGTATGTATAGGCATATACATCTATACATACACATGTATATAGGCATATATAATGCGGAGAGAGAGAGAGAGAGAGAGAGAGAGAGAGAGAGCGAGCGAGCGAGCAAGCCATAAAAAGGTTACGGGATGAAGCCGCTACATACCCAAAGGCTCTAAGATTTCGGGCTGCAAAAAAGGACTGGCGCGGCGGCCGCGCTGGCCCAGGCAACTTGGATATCCAAGAAACTCCAGAATCCTTCAAAGGGATCCTTAAGGCCCAAAGGCTTCCTATCAGGGATGCATAGAAATTGGAAGAAATTGGGTTCTACCAAGAGGCCTAAGGGGTTTCGGGGTTTAGGGTCTGAATTTTCGGGTCGCTCTTGTCATTAATTCGGGACCCAGTGCAAAAGAATACCGAGACCCTTGGCCCAAGACGCTTCAATTCTGAACTGGCAAGCAACTAACTCTACGACTGTGCTCTCAAACCTGCGTTGGTACAGAGTATGACCCTCCAGCGAGGCACTAGGAACTTGGAGCCCGAGGTAACCTTAAACCCAAACCCTGAATTCCCTAAGTCATGAGCTCTGGGCCCTGACCCAGGAGCTCAGAAAAAAGCACAGGCACAGACCCTGCTAAACCTTTCACTGCGATCAAAAAGCCCGGCTCTAAATAAACCCCAATCAAGCACCCGAAGCCTTCAACCCCAACAAAGCCGTAAAGAGTTCCTCCTCATCTGCGCAACTCCACTTGTATATAAGTACCCTAAATCCCTAAACTCCTAAGCCCTAAACCCGAAACCCCCGACCCAAACCCTCTAAGCCCTAAACCCTAGACCATCCTAAACCCTAAACCGCCCAGGCAACATCATCCCTTCCTCCACGGGCGCAGCCAAGGCCGTGGCCAAGGTCATCCCAGCGGTCAAGGCTCGCCTCCTCGCGATTTCTGGGGTTTCTTTGAGTGGAGGGCTTAAGGTTTTGGGCTTTAGGGCTTTAAGGGGCTTTAGGGCTTTAAGGGGTTTAGGGCTTCAGGGTTTAGGGGGGTTTTAAGGTTTAGGGTTTAGGGGTTCTTTTCAGGGTTTGGGGCTTAGGTTTTACGGTTTAGGGGTTCCTTTCAGGTTTCGTGGGTTTAGGGTTTAGGGGTTTGGTGTTTAGGCTTTATGTAGGAAGCTGATTAAGAAACCCAGGGTCTCTATTAGGGCTCTTTAAATGTGCATCCCATTTATGTGGGGTTATAGGACCAGGGTTTCTCAATCAGCTTCCTACAGTAGGGTTTCGTGTTTGAGGGTTCCTTCAAGGTTTCGATATGGGGAGTTTCCGAAAATTGGGGGTACCTTGTTTTGGGGTCCTTATAATAAGGATCCTATTATTTTTAGGGTACTAAATTTCGGTCCCCTATTTCCGGAAACTCCCATATCGTCTCTAGGGATGTGTTTTAGCAGACAGGCGTTAATAGTGCTTTAAAGTTAGTAAAGGACTGTAGAGTCACGGGTATGGTCAGGGACCCAAAAACATACAAATATCATGTGCGGTATATTGCAATGGTTCTCTTTGTTCTGATCGGGCAACTGTCGAAAGTAGGGTTTGAGGGCCCAGATACTACGCTTTGAACGGCTGTTGGTCTTGGAACCCTACTATTACGTATTTTAAGGACCGAGATTTTCAAGGACATCCTTCAGCTATTGAAATCCACCACCTTGCATCGCACACACATTGAGACCTCCACTTTTTTGCTGCAAGAGTGCAAGAAGTTTATGCTTTGTTGCATTGGCCCCTAAACCTTCAACTTTCTCAGGCTCCCACCATATGCACCCGAATCCGAAGAGCATGCATTCTAGCTTCAGGGTTTAGGGCTTAAAACCTGCAAGTTTCGGGTTCTTCGAGGGATCTGGAAGGGTTTAGGGTTTTTAAGTTTTTACGTGTATCGATCTACCCACTGAGCTGCAGGTAATGCCTCAACTAGTGGTAGGGGGTCCTGGCCTAGTCTTCCGTGGGCTTACCGGGAGAGGTTCAGGGTTGTTGGGCTTCTGGGTTTAAGGCTGGGGACTGAGGCTTAAGGTCTAGGCCCCCTATAGCCCTCTTCAAGATGTAGAAATTTCTGGTTTAAGGAATGAGATATGGAAGGAAGTCAGAATCTTCAGGTAGGGTCCGCTGCTTTGCCAGAAGCCTAAAATCCCTACTACCTGTTTTGGGGGGATTATTGTTGTGACTTCCCTATACTGTCCTTAAGCAGGTAGGTTTTCTAGGGCCCGGGTCTCTTCGGGCTTGGACACATGGTCATGTGGGGGTTCCCCCCCCCCCCCCCCCGAAAACAAGGGACTCTAATCTAGATCCCAAACAAGGTACCCCTGATTTTTCGGAAACTCTAAACCCTTATACAGCCCTTTACAGGAACCTTTAAAGTACCCTTATATACTTATATGTAACCCTTTAAAAGGGACCCTAAGGTACCCTAATTTTCGATTACTCCCAAACAACTAAACCCTTTATAGAACCCTTGTAGATCCCTTATAAAGAACCCTTATAAGGAACCCTTATAAATCCCTTAAAGGAACCCTTGTAGATCCCTTAAAGGAACCCTTATGGACCCCAAATTCAAACAAGGTACCCCAAATTTTCGAAGACCCGCATGTGCCAGGGAAAGTTGACCGGCATGGCCCTGCGAGTGCCGACGATCGACGTCTCCGTGGTGGATCTCACTGTGGAGCTGGAGAAGGACTTCTTGGCTGTAAACTCAAGTTCTTATAAGGTAGTCGATTCTGAGAGTTTCAACTTGTATTTCCTTGGGTTTTGGGCCAGTTAGACGAGCTTTGACAGTTGGGAGTTTCCAAAAATAGGAGAACCCCATACTATAGTACCTTAAATAGTAGGATCCTTATCATGAGGACCCCAAATAAGGTACCCTTAGTTTTCGGCAACTCCCATTTACTGTACGTAGGATAGCAGGGCGCAAGGCGCTTGTAGCAGTTAGAGTGTCGGGGTGCTCGTTTTCCCAACTAAAAGGATTTAGGTACCTGGGCCTATGGGTCCGCAGCATCTTCTTACAATCGGTGCCCGGGTCTAGCATAGTAGTTCTGAATCAGCCAATACCGCGGTCTGAGAAATGAGTAAATACTGTGGCATCCCCGAAACCTTCGTTTAATTGATTTTGCTGACTTCCCATGTTGGTGCTTTGGAACCAAATGGCTGCAGTTGCTTCACTTGAAACGGGCGGAAGGTCAAGCAAGCAAAGCTTCTCCACTGCCTCGAGGCCTTGAACCCATACGCGAATCCAAAAACCAAAGGCCGCAAAACCTTATCCAAAGGAAGAACACCTAAAGCCCCAAACCTTAACTAGATACTTCTAAGCCGTAAAACCTTGAACCCTTAACCCTAAACTCACATCCCAAGAATCCCTAAGGCCCCCCTAAAACCCTGAAGCTCTAGCCTTAGTGCTTAAGCTCGAGCGCGACTCTGTCCTGTAGGAGACGACCTACGAGGAGATCTGCGCTGAGATGAAGCACCTCGGTTTCGAGTTTAGGGGTCCTTTCAAGTTTCGGGGTTTTAAGGGCTTAGGGTTGTGGGTTTAGGGTTTGGGAGACTGCAGCAGCATGAGGGTACAGGGTTAAGGGTTTAGGGTTCACGGCATATAGGGGTTGAACCCGACTCCCACTGTTGCTCTGCATCCGAGGCAACCCTAAGCTTGTTACCCTCACCCTCGCGGTGCGGTTCAGAAGTGTTTTCTAGCCTTTGGAGAGAATCTCGGGCTTAATGTAGGGGGCTTGAATAAATACCTATACTATTTTGGTGGTTCCTTGTTATCTTTATAGTATAATGGGCCCAAAAACCTTATGCCAATTATTAGGGCCCCTGTAGTGTGAGTGTTGAGAGACCTATAGTCTCCATTGTAGTTCCTTTGTTTGGTTAACCAAAATCTCTATTGTAGGATCCTATCCATAAAACTGGTTAACCAAAAAAGGAACTACAATGGAGACTATAGGGAGGGTCTTGGGTTTAGGGTCTCTGTCTGGAGTGTTGGCTGTATTATAAGGGTTTCAGCTTCTGAGTTCTGTCCACTCTGGCTTTGGGGTGTTGCTGTCGATTCTTGGGGTAAGTTTGGGTCCTTTAGTTCTGAGGTTATTCCTTCTGTAAGACCACGATGGGAACATACCATCATCCGTTTGCAAACTTTAGACTGGAACAACACCTTTTTTTCCGGCAGCGCTGCAGGTTGGAGGTGTGGTGCTCCTATGCATGATCAAGTTGCGACCTTGAACATGCAAAAAAGAACCTAAACCCCAAATCCCCCCAAAAGCCCTAAGCCTGAAAGTACCGAACGCCTTCCCCTAAACACCCCAATCACCCGAAACCCACAGGGCCTAAAGCCCTAAGGCCTGCAGCCTGTCTAGCAGATTCCGAGGAAGCGCTCTGAGGGAGACATGAAGGGCTACCTGGGCTACACCGACGAGGCTTTACCTTGGGGTTACAGGGTCTGTAGGGTTCGTTTTGGGGGTCACCAGCCTAAAGGGGTTTTGTCTTGTGCTTCTTTCCAAAGGTAGAGCTCAAGTGAGAACCCCCTCCCCCCCGACACGTACGCAGACACACTCAAACCGCATCTTCAGATTCCGGGGCCACGAGTATGCACATGTGTGCGAATTAATACATACATACATGCATACATACATACATACATGTACACATTATACACATGTGCATATAGGTGATTGTACATACAATGCCTTGAGCAGTTTCGAATTTGGTGGGGCTCCATTAAACGGTAGATGGGGGTCCTGGCGCTACAGGGGCTTTTGTTTCAGCATTTGGGTTTCATGGTTTAGGGCTCTGGGTCTTCAACATCGGGACGCATCGTTTCGCCGGGCTCATTGATATGTGCAAAGTTCGGGGGTTGGAGTTGGGGAAGTGACTACATGTTTGAAAACCTAGCAACCGAAGACCCTTACCAAAAAGCAACACAATATATAAATATATAACTCTAAAAAAACCCCAAAAGCTCACCTAGCCTGAACCCTAAACCCTAAACCAAATGCCCCTTTAAAGGCTAATGCCTAAACCCTATACCCTTTTAAAGGAGCCCTGACCAAAACTCTCCTGGTAAAGGCCTCGGTCTCGACCGACTTGGAATCCTTAACACCTTTCAGGGTACGAACAAAAGGTTCTTCTGAGGGTTCTAGAATGGGTGGTACTGTAATGGGGTTCCTTCAAGGGTACTATAATGGGGTTCCTTTAAGGGTAGTATACTGGGGTTCCTTTAAGGGTACTATAACGGAGTTCCTTTAAGGGTGATGCTATAATGACTCTAGTGGGGTTCCTTTAATGCGACTGTAAGGGAAGCTGAAAGGCTTTGGTGTCCACCGACTTCGAGACAAACCCCATCTCCTGCACCTTCGACTCCAAGGCGGACCTTCCTTTTGAGGGCATTGTTTGTTTGATTTTAGGGGCTTCATGGGCTTCAGGGTCTAGGGGGTTCGGCTTAAGGGTTTAGGGAAGTTTAGTGTTTAGTGGGTCTTGGGTTTAGAAGTTTAGGATGTCAGGCGTTTGGGATTTTGGGGCTCTTGGGATTTAGGGCCTAAGGCGGTTCAGGGGTTTAGGGCTCAGGGCTTGGTTCCAGGGGTGTTACATGTGGTTTAGGCTATAGGGTTTTTGGGGTTGCGGGGGTTGAGGCGAACTTGAGGAGTTCGGTGTTTAGCAGGGTTTTAGGCTCTATGGCTTTAGGGCTTGGGGCCTTCGGGCTTGTTGTGACATTATGTTTTGGGGTTCAGGGTTTGGCACTAATAGACGAATAGGCTTTAATAGGCTTAGGGTGTAGCGGTCAGCATTTAGGGTTAAGTCTACTAGGACCCAGAGTAGGCCCTTATTCCCTTTTTGTAGGGTTCAGGTTCCCTTATAATCCCCTTGAAACCAAAAAGGGCACCCTTTTTATTCCTAGGTTACTCTTAGGTCTAGTCTATAACCAGAACCCTTGTCAAACACCTTCTACTGTACCACAGTTCGGCCCCGATAGGTTTTGCACAGGGAAGGATTGCGTTCGGAGCGGGACCTAGCACACTCAGGAACTGAAAAATTTATCCCCCTCCCAAAGGTAGGCCCTTTATTCGGATGCAGGGCTTAGGATTTAGAGCTCGGTCCTTAGGATGTCAGCGTCGCCTTGAGCCTCACTCTGCAAAATCTCACACGGATTAGGATTTGCCCTAAACCCGTCTTGTGGCAAGTTCTGCATCTGCTCCTAACGTGCGTAGAGCCGAGGATATATGCTCGGCTTCATCATGGGTTCTAGTAGGCTACTTACTATGTACCCTTATAGATCCTTATAGTATCCCTTATAGACACCTTTAAAGGGAACCGTATTCTATTTATTTATTACGGCCCCTATATTAGGTACTTGGGGTCCTCGGGGTGAATGTCGTTCGCTCGGGACGTGCCAGGCCGGCATCATGCTCGATCCTACCTTCGTGAAGGTCGTTTGCTGGTACGTCGCATGGCGTGAAAACAGCGGTCTAGACAATTGGAATTTCGGTGGTTAGATTTATACATTTCAATCACTTCGAACAAAGAGCATTACGGAAAAGTTTCCTCATTAAGCATGTTAAACAACCTTGAGCAGTAGACTCACTAATTATGCAGGCTTGTAGCTTGCACGAGCCGCTTCAGCTTCTGGAGTAAGTCCCCAGACCTTCCAAAATCCTTTTATAATTAAGGAATATACCTTAAATCATATTAAGGATCCTACTATAATTTAAGGGATATTCCGAAATTAAGGGATTTTGGAAGGTCTGGATCCTTTATGCCCCTTGTCGTTTTCGCAAGCAAGAGAGCGCCGAATCCCCTAAAATCCTAAACACGCAACCCCCCAACCCCTACCTGGACACCAAAAGTAGCCCTTATAGGGTTGTGGGCCATTATTTAACCTACTTTTGGGGGCTTAGGTAGAACCGAAAGTAACCCGAAAGAGCTACAACCCTTCAGACCCTAAAGCCCAATGCTGGGGGCTCGGGTATACTGTAGGGTTTTTAAGAGATAGGACCGAGGCCCAACCCTTCATGTTAGACCCCTTTTATAAGGTTGCATGGGGTTCTATGAAGTTCTGTTTAGATTTGTGTGAATCGTTTATGGATTCTTGTGATAATTTAATATCTAGAAGGATTTGGGGATTTACAGTTTGGGTTTTGGGCGGTCCCGATGCCATACATCCCAACACAACTCGAAAGCTTCACGATTCGTTGGTCCTGGTTCCGTTTAGGGTTTAGGGCTTGGGATTTCGGGCTTAAGGTCTTTGGATTTCGGGTTGAGGGTGTCATAGTCCAAATGCCTTGTATACAGGCGATTGCTTCAGGGTGCATTTGAGTAATTTTTAGTCTTGTGGAAATCAGTGTAGAACTGAAGGAGCTAGAGGCATGTCAGTGTGGCCGGCCTCAACACTCATCAGGGTTTCAGGGCTGGGCGTATTTTTCTGTTTGTTGGGAAAGTTTTTTGCAGCCCCTACAGAAACTCCTCAACCCTGATCTTGGAAGCTTTCAGAGCTTTCGGGTTCGGGGTTTCGGGTGGAGTTAAGGGTGTTGGACTTAGGGACTGGGCGCACACGGGAGTTAAGCTGGAAACTCAGGACAACGAGTGGGGCTACTCCTGCCGCGTTGTGGATTTGATCAAGCACCTTGGATGAACAGTGACTGACGCTTTCCGTTTGAAGGCCTACGCCGTTCAAGTCTTGAGCCCCGAGAGCTTTAGTTAAGGAAGGCACATTGGGGTTTAGGGTCTATAGGGTTTAGGGTTTCCGTGTAAGCATCCAAGTAAGGCCAAAGGTATCAGCGAAACCATGCCTTTGTGTCTCTTGTTGAGTATCAGCGCCCCTGCTGTCTGAAAACGGATGATGATAGGGATCCTTACGAATATTACTGCGGGGTCTGAGTCTAAGCATTAATTATCAAGACATGGCAAGCACAGGGAGTGTTAGTTTTTGGAGGGTCAGGGTGTTGGAGTTAGTAGTTCAGAGTTTCGGGTCGGTAGGTGTCCATAAGCATGTGGTCAAAACGCTATGTTGTGAGGTTTTGGGGGGCTACAGGTAGGGTGTACGGCGTACGGCAAGGCCAAATCTACCTACACAATAGATCTTTCTATGATGTTCGTCCAGTTGGTCTCAACTTTCTCGAATGTCTGAAAACTCAAAACCTCCTGCCCTCAACACCGCCCTGTCCGTTTTTCTCACATCCGAGAAGAAGTGTTTCAACCCCGAACTCCCACAATACTTGTAAGTCATCTATCCCTGGACCCCAAGAGTATGTAGAATAATAGCCTTTTGAAGGTATTGGGCCATTATTTTACCTACTTTGGAGGTTTAGGTCATCATCTTTCAGGGATGACAGAATATTATTACGTAGCAGTTGCAAGAAAGATAGCTGTTATTCCACCCCCAGGGCAGAGTGTCTTCGCGGAACATAACCTCTGTGACACCCTGCACCTCAGAGTTTAAGTCCCCTGACCCTTACCGCCAAAAGCTAGAAATTCATGGCAACACAAACCATCAGCGGCGTAAACCCTAAACCTCAACAGCCGCAAACCCTCTGCACTCAAGTCTCCTCTTGATCGTTCGATGAGTACGGCATTCAGTTGCATAGGTCGCAGAACCGATATATAGAGCCCTGGCAAGACCCCTACGGAATCTATCCGTCCCTGACCCCCATAACTGCATTCTACTATACTCGACGATTGATTACGTCACTGTCTGATTTTTCTATACTCTACTACACTGTACCGTACTGAACTATACTATTAACTCTCTTCTGCTGATTATTGCTCCAATGGCATAGGCCACCCGACCCTTAAGTTTAAGAAGCATCCTGAACCCCAAATCCTGAACCCTAATCCCGAAGCCCCTTCAGCAGGCACATGGCCAAGGAGGACGCCAAGGCGTAAGCGCAAGGAAAGCTGGTGGCTCGGCGCTTTTCCCACATGGGAAGGTTCCTTTCAGGAGGATTCCCATAAGAACCCCGATAGTAAAGCTCCGGATCCCGAATGCTGTACTTTGAGTGATCTTGCTGTTTGAAACCCTAAACCCTAAACCCTATTTAGGGCTTAAGGTTTAGACGGGCGATATCGGGGTTCTAAAGGGCTTGCCAGGTGGCTCTGAAGGTCATTTACAAGCTGTCTCATCTGTTTTTTTTTTGGTTTGCCAGGGGTTCCTCAGAGTTTTATAGGGCCTCCATGAGTGTTCCGGAGGGGCTTAGTTAGGGGTGAGGAGGATATGGGTTCCGAGTGGAATTCGGTATCTGGGTTCTGGTTTTGGCTGCAGTGCTCTGAGGCCTCATGGACCATTGTGGGGTTCAGGGGTTAGGGCTTTCGATCAGATTTCACGTCTTGACGCATTTAGGTTTTAGCGCAGGGTTTGCATCTTTAGAGTTTCAGTAGCCTCGAACGGCTTACGATACAATCCTACCATAGCATGGAAGGTTGACCTTTTAGGGCTAGGATACTCAGCCGCGACGAAGCCGAGGTCATTTAACTTCTTGACGGCCTTTCCGCGGAGTGCTACTCGCACCTGGAAGCGATCGAGTTGAAACAGACAGCATAGGGGCCTTGTGTTATGGGCTATATTCGAGTGTAACAGTATAACTATATAATTAGTGCTGTAAAGGAATATACCAGTGGTTTAGACCTCTACTAAACCATCAAGGGGTTTAGGACTCAAAGCAGGCATACCCTGCACCCTAAGTAAGCATTTGGGGTTAGGGCTTGCGCTTGGCCTTGCTCCTCTAGTACTTACTGGTTTTAAGCATTGTTCTCGGCACAGTTGCTGTTCCAAGTTCCGAGTGCAGTGACTGTCTCATTGTTACTGCCACGTCTTAATCATTGGAGGCTAGGTTGAAGGGTTGGGGGTATGGCATCAATCTCTTCAGCCCCGCACTGTATACATCTCCCCTCAATATTGCTCCCACTGAACAGCACACATAGTAGGCAGAGGGGTAAGGTATTAGAGGTTGAAATGCGAAGTAGTTGGAACAAATCCGGCCCCGGCACTTCCCCCAGCCCCTAACCCTTCTTAGCACCCCGTATGAAGACCCTACTCAGTCTCGAACCTGCTCTCGAAACTCCACCTGTGGCCATAGCCCCAAGGACCTACATCTATCTGCATCTGAAGGATCTTTCCAAATCCAAAACTCTAGAGTGCTCTACATCCCTCACTGTAAGTTCCGAAATATTCCTGATTTTAAATCTTCACTCCTCACCTTTAACATCTTTGACTCCCTAACTTCAAAGGCTCAAACTTCCCACTGTTAAGACCCGTACCTCCCTACTTTTAAAGTTTGAAGTCCCTAACTCCCTAACCTTACGGCCCTAGACTAAACCTTACACACCCCTTATCAGACAAATCCTACAGCACCCTAAACCCTAAACCCCTTTAGAACCCCAAGCCCTAGACATCTCCCGCTTCCAGGGTCGAGGGCCCCATTTCTCCTTGACAGCCGGGTCCTTTAAATTAGATGCGATGTGGGAGTGCCAGTCTGTCATATCATACTAGACTCATCTAGACTCTATGCGAGTTTCCGAAAATAGGGAACCCTAATATACAGTAGTACCTAGATAGTAGGATCCTTATCATGAGCCCCCCTAATTTTCGGAAACTCACATATTACACTGCACTAAAACATACTTTATGGTCATATACTATGTTCCGGAGTATGTTGTACCATGGTGGTGTACTCAGGTAAACTAGATTAGTAGCCTCTTTCCCGTGCGGTTTAGGATTCGAAACAGGCTTAGGCTTTTCGGCTGAGGGTTCTAAAAGGGTCGAGGCGTTCGGGTTTGAGGTTTGGGGTGCTTCGTGAATCTACTTCTACGCTGTCATTTATCTTGAACCCTCGTTAGAAGGTTCAGCGTGTTCGGACTGTTTTTTCCGATGCCGTCCTAGCTTGTAGATACTACTGCTTAATTGCAGCTATGATCCAACAAGCAACAACCAGCGAAGTTAGTCCGGCGCCGATGTCGGTGCGGGAACTTCCGGATCAGCAGTTGGGTGAACGGACAAGGCTTTCCAACAAATGGGTGGTTGTCAAAATTATGGTCCTTTTGGGGGTCCTTAATATAATACGACACCTAATATTGAAGGTACCCAAAAAGGGACCCTAGTTTTGACAACTACCCATGTATGAAGTTTATTGCAATATAAACTTAACAAGGAGCGCCCTCGTTTATTGAAGAGCTCTGGTACATGCACAATAAAACCAAAACGCTCAAGCTCTGACAGGACTGATGATTATTGATACTAATTCTCATAAGAAATGGCAAGAAGAGTGGCAATAATCATAGCAGTTGCCTTCATCACAGTTGTTCTTAGAGCCTTCGACTATATAACCGGAACCCCCTTGAGCCCCAACTATACTGAGATGAGACTGGTCCTCCCACGTAGCCGTAGGAGTAGGGATCATCCGACTCGTCCTCACAGCTTCGACTGCAAAAAGAAGGTTTGCTGAGGGTAGCGCTTGGAGAAGGAGGGCGGGATGTCCGTTTTTGTGTCCCAAACTCCAAACCTTCAACCCTAAACCCCAAACTCCAAAACCCCCAAACTCCAAGAAACCCCAAACCCAAAACCCTAACCCTGACCATAAGGCTTTACTTGACCGTAACTGAGACCAGGAGGGTGAGGTTTGGGCTTCGGGGATTGGGGAGGTTGGGGGGTTTGGGGTTTAGGGCTTAGGGTTTGGGGTTCGCGCGTTGGGGCTGGATCATGGGACTTAGTAACTAGGGTTGCAATTATGGTAGCTGTACTTGTATCTACTTACATCCTCACTTAGGGCATTTATAACTTATAACCATGCTTACTATGTCCCATGATCCTCCAAGTAATGTATATTAAAACCCGAAACCCTATCGACCCCTTTAAGGAACCCTATAGATAATTATAATGTATACCAAAACCCGAAGCCCTCAACCCCAAACTTGCAAGCCTAAGCCTTACGCCCGAAACGGTAGGGTTCCCGGAACAACCTTTGATGGCCGCTGGTTACGGGTCGTCGGGGCTTGAGGTCGTGCCTGGGCTCTTGTTTTAAGAATCTTATCTTCAGTTCCATATGAATTTATCATAAATAATTCTGGTAACAAGAACCCAGGATCTGACCCGTTTTGATTCCCTACATATAGGGTTTCGGGTTTAGGGTGTAAGCCCTGCATGTAGTCAGGGTATGCGGGGCCTGCATGACCCTGACAGAACTCTGAGATAACCCGTCCCTATAAACCCTAAACCAGTCACGAATCCTCGGAGGTCGAAGCCCGTCAGGGGGCCTGACCGGTAGGAACGTGGGGGAAGAGGAATACACAGCAAGATTTCAGCGGCGTAGGCAGAGACAGAACACACGGTATGCCGTTTGATTAAACAAGTCGTCAGGACCAGATCCGAGCCGTGCAGAAAGCGGGCATCTATGTTTACGAGAAATCGCCGTCGCAGTTGCAGGGCAGGACGACGCGATGCCGGGTCACCGAGTATATAGCAACTCATGAGCTCACGTAGCTGACAGCGCTGCTGACGTTTAGATGGGAAAAGGCACCGAACTGAACAATCATGCCAAACAGGATGCTCTCGTGCTGTTGCTACTGGTAGGTGGCATGGAGCACAGCTTGACAGCCCTGGCAGTTTCTTCCTCTGACAGTCTGGATGATGCGGATCAGACGCTCGAGAGCATGCTCGATGTCATGGGCCATGCGCCCAGCAAAACTTCCGCTGGATACCTTTCGCGCAATGATGATGTAGTTGTCAGCCAGATTGCGCAGGCAGGTTCTAGAATGAGCCTCCGCTGGACCAAGTGCAAGTGGCGCCTGTTCGGTTGCCGGCGAGGAAACAACGTCGCCTGTGCCAGAAGGCATCAGCATGATTCAGCTGCGAAGGGGCTTGGTGGTGGGGCTCAGAGAATCTTAGTGCTAGATGGCGCGTAAAGAAAAGAAAGTCAGAATGTGGTGCGCGAAGCAGGAGATGCCAGCTGACAGGCAATAATCCCGCAGTTCGTCGACTGGAAAACGCCCAGGCCTTGGCCGGAAGCCTGATCCCCCATAAGCCGGAGGGATATACGCGTGCTTGGGATCGGTGGAGCTCGAAGCCGCCCGGCACCCAGGCCACAGAAACAAGCCAAGCCAGAGGCCAAAGCAGCGTTCGAGGAAGTTGTCGGTGATGGTGCCGGAACCCGACGACGCCGACACACCCGATGCAGCAGAAGCTGATGCACTGGACACAGCCGGGGATGGCCCAGAGCTCTTTGACACCTCTGGCTCCGAAGATGAAGCAGAAGAGGCGTGCGATGACAACGGGGCCAGCGCAACCTTTGCAGCCCAAGCACGCTGCACAAGCAGTGTCACGAGTCGCTGAGCAGTCTGTATTGAGGGATGTATTCGCAGCTTCACCGCCCCGGAACTCTTGGACTCTGTTCTGGGCTTGGCGCCCCTGCCCGTGGCCACCAGCATGGACGTCTTCGCGCTGGGCGCCTGGCCAACCTTTGCAGCAGCGAGCTGCATTTGGCGTTGTGGGCACGCGCCTGCCTGGACTCCAAGCCGGAGCGGCATAGTTTGTGCCTCAACCCGGGAGGCGCGACATCCAACTTGTTGCCGCGTGATTTAGCAACATTGTTTGATGAAGGCGGTGGAGCGTGAGAGCATTGCCCCAGATCCTTGAGAGTGGCCGTAGGCAGCGTGGATGAGTCGGCCGCCAGTTTGAATTCCTCAGTTGGTGTGCCCACAGGCAAAGCCCCGCGCCCTCCTGCAGAGAAGACTTTGAAAGTTATGTTCGGACCTTGTAGCCAGGCTCGAGAGCCTTTCGAAGCTTGAATCATGCCTGGAAGGTACAAAGAGCTTGAATGGCCCCGCCTCGTTTTTGTTGTTGTAGGTGTTCGAGTGCAAATTTAAAACTTGTTCTGTCAGGGGGCCAAAGCCGA